CCCCCACCAGAGGGCTGCAGAGGGAGGTCAAGGCCACTGCCGGTGTGGTTCGGTGCGGTCCCGCGGCACCTGGAGACCTGGCTCTGGGCGGGACCCGGCGCCTGTTCTGGGAAACGTGGGAAAGGGGCCAGCCCCGCGTGAAGTCTGGGCGGCCCCCGTAACCCACATGGTAGCCCCATAAAGTGCCAGGAGAGCTCTGCTTTACCGGGAGGAAAAGTAGTGCTTTGCATTTGCTGGGAGCGAAGAGATTTCTCTTACACTTGAACGATGACGAATGCAGAAAGAGAGATCGCCGCGGTGGAGACCAACGCAGCGAGTGGTCTAATTCGGTGTCGTTGGCTAATCCACCCAAGCGGATCACAGCGTTTTCGTGTTAAAATACCCCGAGTGGGTGCGCTCATTCCATTCTGCTCCGGTCTCAGCTGGTCCTCCCAGTCACACCCCCATCCCGCAAGTTATGTCATGGGGTAGGGGTGGGGGGGCAGAGGAACCCCTGGATCCCTTGGACTCTAGGGTGGGAAGAAATTTAGATGGAAGACAATGGAAGATGAAGGGTCTATCAGCAGTTTGAATGCTTTTCCCAGGAAACATTAGAAGCGAGCTACATGATTATTCATTCCTGTTGAACACCTATTGTGTTCCAGTAATTTACATGCAGTGTCTCCTAGAATCTTATCAGGGCTCCGGGAAGGAGACTGTGAGCCCAGGGAAGGTGAGGACAGGAAAGCCCTGAGGGTAATGGACTTGCCCTAAGTCGTTCCCTCCACCACCACCACCACCAACCTTGGTGCTGGGAACTTCTAATTTTGTCTTTCAATAGCCATCAGAATGCCTTTCCCAGGCAGCCAGTTTACCAGCTAATCATTCTTTTTGTCCTGTGAGAAAAGAAGCCAGCAGCCAGGCCCCCTTGTTCCAGGCTGCCTGTTGGTGGCCCCAGGGGATGGAATTCTGGGGGCCGTGTTCCAGCCACAGGAACTGGGACTGCCCAGCAGCTGGCTCTCATTAGCTGAGCTCCCGCTGGTGTCCTGGAGCAACTGAGCGCTTGGGTCACCAAGGATCCAGGAGAGGGGCCTGAGCCCTGGGAGGCGCTTGAGTCCCTGGCCGTTTGGCCTTGGGGCTGAGCCAGCTGAAGACCGCCCACCCCCTTCACCCCCCCTTCCCCAGCTGCATGGAACCTGGTCCAGGACTTGGTGTAAAACAGCATAGATTCGAAGAATAAGCAACTGGGACAGCTTAGGCAAGTCGCCTGACCCATTTGAGACTCAGTTTAGGGAAATAATAAGAGTGTCGACTAATGTTTGGAGCATTCAAAGCCGGTGTGTGCGAAGCACCTCGCCTCGTTGGTAGTTGATGCTTAATGAATCTTAGTCGCCAGCCTCCCTTGCAGGGCACCTGTCAAGACCGCCCCCCCCCCCCCCCCCCCACATCTCCATTAGGATGGGATGCTGTCTGCTCCAACGCCACCCTCCTGCACTGTGCCAAGATGCCTTTGGCCTGGTCTGTAAAGGACCCGAGTGATGCAAGGCCAGGGGAGGTGGTTATTATGTAAACATTTTGAAGATGGCTGGGTGGAGAGATATCTGTTTACTTTGTGTCTACATGACTCCCGTTTGTGTTTCATAATAACAACAACCTAATGACATGGTGTCGCGGAGAGGCCGGTCTGAGGTCTGGGGTGGCGGTTATTCGGATGGCCCTCAGGTGGCCCTGCAGGCTGTGCAGATCTCCTCGCCTGATTTGCAGGTGATATCACTGGCCTGGAACAGGGCCAAGCTGGCAGCGCAACCCAGAAGGTTTCTGAGTTCCCTCTACCCAGCCACCCTCCACCCTCTGCTGGTCCGGTTCTGAAAGACCAAACGAAGTTTCTGAGAACGTCCACGGTGCCCAGGCCTTGAGGACAGCCTGTCGTGGACGTGGGTGTTATAAGGAGATTTCCTCTGGGAGATCATGAGGACTCTGCTGGCTGAGCACCACAAGCTGAAATAAGCATGTTGGCCAGGCAGCGAGGCGACTCGCCCCAGGGTCTCCGCACCTCGGTCCCCGGCCGGATGGGATGCTCGGTTTCAGGAGCTGAAGGAGTGCCCGGTTGGATGGTGGAGTCCAGTGTGGGGAAGAGGAGAGGGCGAGGGGACGCCCGATTGAAGGGATGGAGGATTGGGCATCCTGTCACCCTCCTGAGGTCGGCAGGGTGGCAGGCCCGATGCTGGTGACCACTCTGGCCTCCAGGGTGGGGCCTCCCCCAGGGGAGGTTACCCTCCTTGGCACACAGACTGGGGACCAGAGCAGGAGATGTAGACGTTACATGCTGGTTCCATCAGCACCTGGTTCTGCCGAGATACTTGGCGACTCAGTTTCCCTCTTGATGGGAATAACTCCGTCTGGGCCCCAGCGGCGTGAACCAGGGGCTCACTGAGTGTTCTTGGACTGAGAACGTGAACTGTTTCGTCTTTGGTTGTCCGTTCATGCGTCGCATCTCTTGAGCATCTCTTCCTGCCAGGCAGTGTTGTAGCTACCAGGGAGGTAGCAGCAAAGGAGGCAACCGCAGCCCTGGTTTCCATGGAGCTTGTATTCTGTGGGAGGAGATTGCCAGTAGGCAAACACGCAGGGGTTGTGTCGGGGGGGTGGTGAGCGCTGTGCAGGCAGGGTGAGGGGTCAGTGTGTTGGGGGTGGGTGCTCTTTAGTATTTAGGTAGGTGGTCGCAGAGAGAGCCAGTTCCAGAACAAGGTGCACGGGTGCTGAGTCCCTAAAGCAAGAGGGCGTTGCCACTCAGTTAAAGGAACCCGGTCATTGTTTAAAAGTTCTTGGTAAATTAGTATCTTTGGAGACTGGGCACTTTATCTGTCCACATCTGAAGCCCACAGCCTCCAGGCCCAGGTCAGATGCCACACTACCTCATTCAGCCCAGGCCCAGCGGACCTGCCACGGGACCCGGAGCCACTGGACCCTCTACCTTTTTTATTAGTCATTTGAGTTCTTAGCTCCTCTGGCCCCTCTCCTCACTCCAAGTGCAAGGGGGAGGGACCAGACCTGTGTTTGTCTGGGCATTAGCTCCCAGCATTCTACTCTCCTGAGGCACGGAGCTCACCAAACGCCAAGCTTTGTCTTAATCAGTGGGCCAGGAACCCCCAGGGAAGGTGCGATTGCTAATCTCATTCCCCCTTGGGGAGACTGGTGCTCAGAAAAAGTGAGTAACTTGCCCACAGTCACATAGTAGGTGTCACAGGCAGGATTTGGTCCCAGATTATAGATCTCAAGGCAATGTGGAAAGACCTGGTGCTGATCTAGAGAAAGGAGACCTACATTAAGTTTCCAGTCCGGTTTTTCTTTAAATGTTTTTTAATCCTCACCTGAGGCTGTGTGGGTTTTTTGTTGTTTTGTTTTTTTAATCCTCATCCGAGGATATTTTTCCACTAGAGGCCCAGTGCACGAAATTCATACATGGCGGGGGGGGGGGGGCCCCTCAGCCCAGCCTGCACCCTCTTCAATCTGGGACCCCTCAGGGGATGTCCAACTGCCGGGTTAGGCCTGATCCCCGGGATCGAGCCTAAACCGGCAGTCAGACATCCCTCTCACAATCCGGGACCGCTGGCTCCTAACTGCTCGCCTGCCTGCCTGCCTGATCGCCCCTAACTGCCCCGCCCCCCGCCAGCATAGTCACCCCATGCACCCCATGTTCAGTCATTTGGTCGTCCCTCACTAACCCCCCTGCCAGCCTGGTCGCCCCACGCAGCCTGCTGTTCGGTTGTTACTGTGATGGCATCCTGGATAATTTGCATATTCTTCTATTAGTATAGATTGCTTTTTTAAAAAGAGTGGAAGAGAGAGGGAAAGACAGAGAGTAATTTGCATATTCCTCTATTAGTATAGATTGCTTTTTTAAAAAGAGTGCTTGTGTGGTTTTTTAAAAATTGATTTTAGAGAGAAGGAGAGGGAGGGAGGGAGGGAGGGAGGGAAGGAAGGAAGGAAGGAAGGAAGGAAGGAAGGAAGGAAGGAAACATCGATTGGTTACCTCCTATACACACCCCAATTGGAAATTCAACCCATAACCTAGGTATGTGCCTGGACCGGGAATCGAACCCACAACCTTTTGGTGTGTGGAATGACGCTCCAACCAACTCAGCCAGGGCTCTTTAAAGTTTTATCTTTTAAAAAAGATTTGTCCTCTCCTTGACATTCTTTGTTTTAAGCAACTCAGACATTTGCTTATCTTCGTGCCTCAAGTAGTATCAGCAGCTGGGTCAGCTGTGTTAT